ATTCCTTGAGTAATTGTTTTAGTTTTATTTACCCTTTGAGATTTTATTTGAAGCTACGAAACCCAACGTAACAATGTCTTTGTCAGTTGCAATATATGGAATAGTTTTATAAATTTCTACTCTTTTATTAGTCCTATTATAATTCTAAAGTTCAAAGATTAGATTTTATTATTTTTATATAATTTTAAGAAATCAATATCAGTATATTTATTTTTATTTAGTATAAAATACAATACAAAATAAATTAATTATTATCTCATTATTTTATCATATAGAGTATCAAATAATTATTTTATTTCTTATTAAATATTCTTTTTTATTTATAAAACAATTTGTAAATTGCAAAGAAAATTATATATTTATGTATCCTGACCTTAAAAATTTTAAATCATAAGTAAAATTTCAAATTAATTTTCTTTTATAATAGGTTCTTAATATAAATTAACAAAGATTTCTATTATAGAATAAACTATTTTTTCATAATTTTAAATACAATTATATATTTATTTCACCTAATAAAAACAGCTATAGATTATTTTATACTATTTATTAAAACTTTAATATTAATAACTTAATTATAGAATAAATTACAAAAATTAATAAGTATATAGCTTTAATAAAGTAATTAATTTTTTCAATTGACACTAATAATATACTTTGCAAAATTGTATTAGATGTATTTTTAATAATATTTTAGTATATTGACTATTGTATATATAGAAATCTTATACTATATATATTCTTTTTATTTCTATTAACTGTTATGTAAAGATAATAACTTATAATATAATAAAAGATTTATCTTATTCATAATCTATTTTCTTCTTATAAAAAATCACTTATATATCAATATTTAAATATAATTCAACTATCAGTTATACTTTTTTAGTTATTTTAACTATTTTAAATTATTACTAATTTTATATAAATTTATTTATTTCTTATATTACCTAAAATTATTAACAATTTTTTAGCAATTTTTATTCACGTTAAATTTAACAAATAGTTCTTTATTTAATTTTACTTTTTTTAATTAGAATAGATGTAGCTTAATTATAAATAATTCTAACTTTCTAATAGCTTCTTTTTCAATCACTTTTATTATTTATTTACTTCTTCTTTAATTGTAAAATTAATCATAATTTTTACAATAATTATTGTTATTTTCCTTTTTATGTAATTATTAAAACTGATTTTTAAATAATTATTTAACAATTTAAATAGATTCAAACTACTTTAAATATTTTACTGTTAATATACTTCTTATTGAAAATTAATAATTTTTATTTATGATCTTATTTATTTAATATCATTAGCATTTACAATCTTAATATTTATTTGTACAAAATTAAAGTATATTCAAAATACCTATTTAATAATAAAATTAATTATTTAGCTAAAAATTTCTATAATATTATTAACTTTTCTTTGACTTCTAATACTTAAATCAATTCTTTTATTAATATAAAGATATGCTGATTGCTATTTCTATCTATTTTCTAATTAAAAATATCATAAGATCTAATATATTTGTTAGATTTAAGCAATTATATTTGATCAACAAATATAAAATTTTTTTATTAACTAGACAGCTACTATATTTTACTTAATAATAATATTACTAATATACATATTTTTTACAAGAATTTTAATCTCAGAAAAAGTAATTTTAAAAATATTAGAAAGTTATTCTAATTTAAATCTATACATATTGCTAATATAATAACTATTATCTTATAATTATTTTTTCTTTTTAGCTATTATAAAAAAACTGATTTTTTAAAGTTTACTTTACTTTAATTACATGATTATAAAATATAATAATTTTACTTTAGCAATTTTATTATTTTATGTATTTCATTTTTAAATAAATATAGTTTATTTAAAAAATAGATATTTTTTTCAAATAAAATTTAAAAAGACTTATGAAATTACTATTTAATTCAAAAAGAACAATATTTTTTCACAAATTACAATTTTGTTCATTCTTCTCTTCTTTCAACTTTTAATACTTCTATTTATAAGATAATTTATTTTGAATTCTATTAAATAAATTTTCAGAACTATAGTAATTTAATTTTTTCTTTCTTTTATTTTACTAAAATATATATATTTAATTTAGATTAGGTTTAGATTCTGAGAAAATGCAAAGTTAATTTTAATTTAGTATATACTAAATAAAGATTTTTGTATTTTCTTAAATTCATTTATATATTATTTATACTTTATATTAAATTTAATAATATTATATGTAACTATTATATGTAAAAAAAAGAACAGTTATATAACTAAAATAAGAATTTTTTAAAAAATATTAAGAAACTATTTATAACTAAAATATTGTCATAAAAATATCTTTAATACATTAAGTAAAATTTTTTCAAATTAAATTTTACATATAAAAATCTTATTTATAAAATATTTAAAATAATTATTATTAAAATAAATTAGAAAGGTTGTTATAAATAAGATATGTAATAGAATATTACAAATACATCATTAAATATTATAAAGCTTATTATATATATAAAGTATTAATCCTTTTCTTTTAAAAATAATAAATAAAATAATTATTTCTAATAATTTTTAATTAAATATTTTAAAATAAAATAAAATTATAATAATAAAAAAAAACAATTATTAAAATCTATTTAAATTAAATGTTAAATTATAAAATATAATAATAATAATAAACATATTTTAATTATTATCTAATTTTCTTTTTTTAGAATTAATAATTATATTATTATCTATAAAATTTTTAAAATTAAATTTATTAAAAAATATTATTAAAAAAAAAATAATATACTAATAAATAATAAAATTTATAAATACCATTTAAATTTTTTCTTTTAAATTTATTTTCTACTTCTTGATATTCATTACTAGTATCTAAACATTTAAATAAAAATTAGTTTAGATATATTATATATTTATTAAATCATCAAAATATTACCATATAAAAAAGCATTTTTATCTGATATTATAATTTTATTATTAAAATCTAAGTAAATAAATAATAATAAGTTAATAATAGTATTAAATATTAATATTTAGATTTATTAATCATATAAATAAATCTTTTTAATTTTTTTAAAAAAAAAAAAAATAATATATATTTTTAAAAGAATTTTTAAATAATTACCTTCTTGTTCTTCTATTATTATTATTTAAAATAAATAAAATAATTATTATAAAGATAAAATAATATAGTAATCATTAAAATATTTTTTATTATCTTACCTTTTGTAGCATTTCTTGGTTTAGGAAAATTATTAAAAGAATAAATTTTAGAACCATAAAGAAAATCATCAGTTTTATTTGTATTATTATTTATTTTAATTTGTAAATCAATAGTATTATTATAATTATTTTTTTGAGTTTCATTTATATTTTGATAATATAATTTACTGATTTTTTTTACTTCAACATAAAGAGTATTAATATCTGGTCGTTTTGATGGATCAGCATCCCAACATTGTTCAATTAATTTTTTATATTCGAAAGGAGTTCCTGATAATATTTTTGGTCTCATTCCGTTTACTATACATATTGCGAGATCATGATCATAATTATGTTCCTTAAAAGGAGGTTCTCCTGCCGAAATTTCCCACATAAGCATAGCAACACTGTAAATATCAGATGCTTTAGTATATTTTGATGTTTTTGCAATAACTTCCGGTGCTATAAAGGGAAGATTTCCATAAATACTATTCGATTGTATATCAGCAGGACCACTAAAACCGAAATCACTAATATACCAATTATAATTTCTTGGAGAATGTAATATATTTCCAGAATGCAAGTCTCGATGAATTGCATCAACTCTATGGATTCTATCAAGTGCATTGAGTATATCAAGGGTAATCATGATCCTTTCTTTCCAGGTAAGTAAATTATGATTTGCCATTAAATATTTTCTTAAATCGGTATCCATTAGAATAATTACAAGCATATAACCTTGATTTGGTAGGTGGGTTAGACCAAAACAACTTACTATTCGTCCCCATTTATTGCTTATCATTAAATGCGTTTTGGCCTATATGAGAAATTTATAATAAAATTTTTTTCTTTTTTTCTTTTTCAAACATAATAATAATAATAATAGCTTTTAAATTACATACCTCATCAAACCAACTCCTATTAGCACTTTCAATATTTTCCAATTTTTTAAGTATTACATCTTGCATTCCCGATCTTAATAATTTTCGTTCTTTAAAATCCCATTCCGTGTACCTTCCATCAATCCATTTGGCTGAATAAATTTCAGAGATTCCACCTTTAGTAAAAAATTCAACACCTTGTAATCGATCGTGTGGGATCCATTCTATAATCTTATATGGTGAAATGGATTCTAATTGACACTGTTGTATTAAATCATCAATGTTATCATTACCGGATTTCCAATTTGAAAATTTTGCTTTTAAATAATTTCGAACGCAATGTTCACAAAATAATGTAGCCAAACATTCTTCATGACAATTTTCACAAATTCTTTTTGTTCCATTATTATGAAGAACTTTATCATAGTCACGAGATTTATTCATGGTATTTTTTGCGTTTAATTTTTCATCTTCGGTAAGAGTTTCATCAGAATCAATAACTTTGTCCATAAAGTCATGTCGTTCGTCAATACTTTTAATATTATTATCTACTAATGCATATGCTTTGGATATTGCGATAGAAACCAATTCTTTTCGAATAGTAGCCATAATATAGCTATACAAAAAAATTCAAGTGAGAACTTTAAAATAAATCGAATCTATCGTTACAGTTTATATTTATGCCGATTTATAGCTTATTTTGAAAGTGCAGTGCATCGTAACAAATGTCGAAAATAGGCAGAAAAAAATCATACAACATTAATTTGTGGATTTGTTTTGCTGCAACAGAACATTAACATTAATTATTGTTGATCTCTTTATGGTTACGTAAATGAATAATGTAAAATAGATAAATAATTTATTTTTATAATTATAATTTCGTTTCTAAATTTTTCGCAATAAATATTTTCCGTATTCTTCTCGAGCTAGTGGATTTCCTTTATCAGCAGTTTCTTTAAATATATCTATAGCAATTTTAATCCTTTCTTTCTTACTAATTTGTTGTAATTCTTCAATATCTTCACCATGATAATAATAATAGTATCCTACCCAATACCTTGCTTCAATATTGATCATTGAATGATATTTAAAGCTATCCCAAACAATCTGTTTGTTTCCGTTCTTGGATTTATGCACACGAATTGCATCTTCCACAGAGATAATTTTAATGATTCTAAATGAAGATATCGTTTCAATCTGTTCATTTTTTACTAATAAATTTTCGTTAGATTTTGACAATCTTGAAAAATTGGTCTTTAATTCAAAAAATGTTCGGCAAATATCAGTTATATTGGGACGCCAAACAGGCTTATATTCCATAGCTAAAAAATTTTTTTTTTTTTTTTAGAAACGGTAAATATTTTAGAAAAAGATCAAAAAATTGCTGACGCTCACCTCTAGATACTATATTTTTCCATTCATCTGGCACAAAATTTGAAATTGTTTCATGATATCCATGGTTTACACGATCTTTAATACCTTGAATTAAATTTGATGTTTCAAGATCAGAATGAGGTTTCTTCAATTCAGCGATTTCCCACAATAATGCTCCAACACTATAAAAAATTGATGAAAGATTGATAGTTTAATAAAAATAACGTGTAAAAAAAAAAAATAAGAGAATTTTTTTTGGCGTGAATTGAAGTTATTTGCCTGTAAATTTCACATTTAGAATCATAAGAAACTTTTTTGTCGTTATCAAAAAGTTTTTCTGGAGCAAGATATTTCACAACATCTACAAAATGCGATTGATTCCCTGATGTAAGTTTTGAAAAATTTTTACTTAGACCGAAATTTGCTATTTTAGCTTTATGATCTTTATTAATTAAAATATTTGTCGAACGAATGTCATGATGAAGGATCTAGTAAAAAAAAAAAAAAATGAATAATTGTAATTTTATATTTTAATCGATTATTCATCGATAAAAATTTTTAATTTAATTTACCTCAATTTCATGTAAGAAAGCGACACCGCGACAAATATCCAGGGCCATTTCAATTTTAAATTCCAAATTCATAAAATTCATATTAAATCTTGTATAATATTCACTTAAATTACCGTATTCCATCCATTCAGTAACCAAATAATATTTAGAATTTTCTTCTGCTACACCAAAAAATCTTGTAATGTATATGGAATCTCTTAATCCTTTAAGAATATTAACTTGCCTTCTAATTTGAGAGTGATCAAAAGAAGAAATCTCATTAGAGATTTCACTAAAAGTATAATCAAATTTCTCATTAATTGATGTACGTTTATGAATTCGTTTGGAAGGACAGACGTTTGTTTTTTGATATTGACTTCCATCAAGTAGTGGTTCATTCACTTCAATTGAATGTAAACTTTTTAGTTTGCTTTGTTCTTGAAATTCTTTATTTTTCTTAAACACCAAATCCATTCTGTTTAAAAAATTTTTATCGTCAGGTAAACCATAAACGTGAAGCAAGATCTCTTTAATTTGACTCAGGTCATATCTTATGGTTGCAACTTCATCTCTAGTTTGTATGGTGAAAGAAAAATTTAAATTTTTCATATACCCGTCAAATTTCGTTAAAAGATCCGTAAAAGTTTCTTCAATATTATTACCGTAAAATAATCTCTTGAATTTACTTAAATGACTAATCTTTTTTATAAAGTTTTTAATATCACGTATACAAATAATAAATCCCTCAAATAAAATTTTATTTTCCTCTTTGGAGAAAAAAATTAAATTTTCCGTTTTTCTAATTTTTAAATCTTGTACCGCGGCCATGGCGCAATTACACCTTTGTAAAAGGAAACTACATAATTCTTTATGATGTTCGGCTTGTTCATATATTTCCATAATCTCTCTTCCTATTGAAATGAATGTTTTAATTAATGGGGAGAAATCTTCGAAAACTTGAGATAAGTTAAATATATCTTTGATGTAATCCCTCTCGAAAACATCTTTATTAAGATCTTCGTTCATTACTTCAGACTTTATGCAATTTGAAGATGTATCATCGGATGAATCATCCATACGTGGCATTTTTGGGTTTCTTTCCGTAAATTGAGCGTCTTCATTATTACGTTTGTTATCCTTTAGAAACGCTTCTTTCATTATTAAAGATTTCATTGAAAAATGTAAGAATGGTTATAGATGATATAATTAATAAAAGCCAATTTTGTCAATTTTGTCTTTGATTTATAATAAAAGCTGGTCCAAAATATTTACGTTATGATTACAGCAAATTGCTTTGATTCGTTACAATTATTACAAAGTTTGATTTTTTAGGCATGCAGTACCTCAAGCCCATTTTCCTAATACAAAAAAAAGAATGGTTACTTAAAACCAAAAAGACACAAATAAAGAAGTTATCGGACTATGATTGCCGGTTGATAATTATTGTCACGTGAATTTTATTCTCTACACTTAACCTCTTTATAAATAAATCTTAATTTTGTTAAAAATCCTTAACATGATTTTTCTAAAAGTTGTAATTATGAAATGGTAAGGTTGTCTTGTATTGTTTTTTTTACCTCATTTGCCAATAGGTCCGAAATTACTTAATTTCGAAGGAGTGATATAGATAGACAAAAATTCTGTAGATATTGGATGGGATTATTTATTTCAAAAATCAAAATATCTTGATTTTTTGAGATCAGTTATCTCATTTTTGTTTGCATTATGACTGACATATACACTGTTTTTTATTTATTAGCTTTATTAAGCAATAAAAGTAAAAGAAAATGCGAGAATCATATTATAAGAACAAAAAGATCATTACATCTATATCAAGATTTACTGATGCTTTTTATATATGTAAAAGTAAAGTCTGGTTTTTAGGGAGGAAAATTATATATTATTCATGGTCTTTGTCAAAGCAAAGGTTGACTTTATTGTAGAGCTTAAAGAGACACTCAGGTATAAAAAATTAGCTTGTAAGCATATATGTATCAATATAATAAATGTAAAGGTCTTACAGAATCCTAAATATTTAATTGGTAAAGCAGGAGTTTAAAGTATTAAAGAAACTTTAATATTTCTTATATTAAATTTAATTAAAAAAATATATTAAATTTATCACAATCTCTTATTTTAATTAAAATTTCTAAAGATAGATATAATGTTAGTTATAAAATAAAATATGTTATGTTAACTTTTGTATTCTTGATCATGAAGAAGTTATTTTTTTTTTAGAATATCATTATTACTCTTATTTTATATCTTAAATCAAAGAAATATAATATATTAAATATAACATCTAAATTATTATAAAAAGAATTATAGTAACTTAAATATTAAGAACTTATAATTGGTAGGATATACACTATCTGAAAATAAGTTTGCGTGGTTTTGAAAAAATAGTAAATAAATTTATGCAGTTTTGAAAAATAGTTTATTATCATTTTTTTAACAAAATATTAATATCTAGTTGGTCAACCATTATTGGCAATACATGCTTCTATTCTTTGAGGCATACTATCAATTAATTTTAGGTAAGTTTCTTGCGAAAATTTTTTTCATTCTTCTTTTAGTTGCACTTCTAAATCTGCAAGATTTTTAAGCAGATCTGAATAGTTACGCAACAAATATTCAAGATAATCTCAAAGATGCTCAATGGGATTCAAATCTGGAGATTGAGCAGGCCAGTTAATTAACATTTTAATTTTTTTTTAGCAACCCATGCTTTAACATTATTAGTTATGTAAATAGATGCATTATTGTGCTAAAATTTGTAAGATCGGTTATGAAACTTTAAATCAATAAATAGCAATAGATTATCATCTAAGATTTTTATATAATCATACTGATTGATTATTCCTTCTATTTTCACTAAAGGACCCAATCCTTTGTCTGAAAAACATTCCCAAACTATGACTTCACCACCACTATATTTAATGGATAAATTCAGGTTTTTAATATTAAAATGAGTGCCTGGTTCACATCAAACTTGAGAAGGACCATTATTACAAAAAAAAGTAAACTTTGATTTGTTACCCATATGATATTTCTCCATTGTTGTACTGTCTAATTTTGTCTTTCTAAACACTATTCTAGCCATTTTTGACGTTGATTTTTATTTAAAAATGGTTTTTTGTAGCTCAATAAGAATTGTATCCAATTTGATGCAAATTCTTCTAAATTGTTTTGGTACAAATATTTTAACCAGTTGTTGCTGAAAATTTCTTTTATATTATATCAGCTAAAGCTTTATTATTTTTTTTAACAATTTTTTTTAAAATTTTGTGATCTTTATCATTAAGTAACGGAGGCTGACCACTTCTTTTTTTTTGCTTAAAATATCATCTGAATCTTCATATTGTTGAATTATTGTTCTAACTATGGACTCTATCGATTCATAATTCTAATAATATCAGACTTTCTGTGGTCACTTTTATATAGTCTGATTATCTGTACTTGTTTAATAACAGTAAGTTCAGAATTTTTACCTATTTTGTTAGAAATAAGTTGTTAGATTGATTATCATTAAGTTATATTTATTTATGTTTATAATTATTTTTATTTTATATGTATTACAATAACAAACAGTTATATAAATAAGAATCAGAGCTTTCAATTGATACCAAAATCAATTGATTTTATTATATACAATTTCGAATAAAATTCAAAAAACTGATCACGTAAACTTATTTTCAGGTAATGTATATCAATATAATTTTTAAAAAATTATAAATTTAACATGATATCATAACTTAGTTTCTTATTTTTTGAAATTTTACTAGTATTACTATATATATATTCTTTAAGATTATATTCTTATAAATGCTATTAATGTTAAAAATTTGCCCTAGAAAAATAATTTACAAAGTCATTAGATTTAATTTTATATAGATCATATTAAGGAAGATCTTGATCAATGTATTGTATTAGAAAATCAGGCTAATTTATTTAATTTGAAGAATTTATAAAATTTACCTGATTTGCCTATTTTGTCTGTTTCTTCTGTATTTTCTGTACAACTTGTTTATTCTATTTATTCTGTTTTACCTGTGATTTTCTTAACATCTGTAATTTAATTTATTTTTTTTTATTATTTTTTATAGTTTATATTATTTTTATTATTTTATTACATTTAAGTATACTTTTATTAAAATATATATTTATATTTAGTTAATTTATAGTATAGCAAGTAGTTAGCCATAGCAAATTTATTTTGTATAAATAGAATAACTTTTTATTTAAGTTATAAATTGACTTATTTGTAAATTTCATATGAATTTTAGTATTATAATAAAGGAATTAATTTAAATTCATATAAATTTACTTTTTCCTTTAATGTTGTCTTTCATCTAAAATTATTGTAATGTAATATACTAATTTGTTATTGAGTTTATTATTACAAGTTTGACTAATATATCTTAAATTCTAAGATATAATAAATTTGTCAAGTTGATTTAAGTATAACGAATACCTGTAAGACTTAGAAAAAATCAGTCAAAAAATCTAATGTGTAAAATTAACTATTATAGCCTTTTAACTTAGATATTAAAATAAATGAAAATAAATCTGATGATAATGCTTTATTATAGCATTTAATTATAAATAATTAATCCCAATAAGAGCTTAATATATATTATGATAATTAAAAAACTATTATTAAATAATATTTAAAATGTAAAAATTTTTATTATTAGTATGGTCCAGTGTAAAAAGATTTGTACACTGCCAAAAAAAAAAAGATTTACGCTAAAATAAATATTGTATCACTAAAATAAAGTAGGCTAAAAATTAAATATTTGTTAGAACATAACCAAACATATTTTTTCCCACAAGTTTTTTTATCATGCCATGAATCTTTCTTTTTTAAAACAAAATGGCACACCACTGATGGATAATGAAAAATTGATGATAATTAACGTTTATAATTACTTTAAGGGGAATAAATCTATAAGGAAAAGCCTTCAGAAGCTACTATTATGCAAGCGGGTTGCTGAGATATTGGGTGTATCTGAGGGTACAATTGGAAGTGTTATGTCAGATTGGAACAGCTATGATAATAATACATTTACACCACACAAAGTTCTTGGATGACCTATATTAAAATCTAATAAAAATGTAGCTGAGCTTTTGCGTATGAAGGTTCTAAGTGTCAATAAAGTGAGTGAACACCTTTCTACACCTATTCTAAGACAATTTCTTTTTGAACAAGGATATACCATTTCTAAATGAAAGCTCCTTTGGGTACAATATCATTTGGAATATTATTTTGGTCAAGGAGAGCGAAGGAACATCCTTCACGAATCACCAAATAATGTTGCATTCTATTGGCGTTATCTTCATTATAGGTTTGCTAATTTGAAAAGTAAAATAATATTCCATGCCATCCAGAGGTTTTCCTTGATGAGTCATATTGCCATTTGTATTACACTTCGTGAAATATATGGGTTCTCTATCAAGGTATTATTTTATCATCTGGGCATGGACTGTTAGTAGTAATTTTTGGTGCAATTATAGTATTTTGAAATGAGTTCTTCAATAAACTGCATGGTAAACTTATTCTGAACTCTGTTCATATTTGGGATCCAAAAATTAAATCTCCAAGAAATAAAGGTTAAAAAAGAAACAATGCTAAAGAATGAGACAATATTTCCGATATCATTAAGGATGCCAATATCATTCTAAACCAGGTAGATTATCACGGAAACTTCAATGCAGAAATATTTGAGAATCTTTTACAACTCTGTGTAAAAATCTTCATAAAAAATATGGGTCAGTAATCATCTATATGGATAGAGCTAGTTACCATAAACGGCGAGTAGAAAACATTCTGATTTCAAGTGCAAAAAAACAAGAAATAGTTGACTGATTAAATGCATATGATATTTCTTTTTCTGGTGAATTAAGAAAGCCAGAACTTTTGAAACTAGTGCAAATGAATAAGGAAAAGGTTCCTTTTTCTTGTGTTAAAATAGCAGAATAGTACAAACATGAAATTAATTTTACCCTTCCATATCATTATGAACTTCAACCTATTGGTCAGTAGTAAAAGGTGAAGTTGCACGTTCAAACCTACATCCAAACCTTTTATTTATTCAAAATAAACTATTAGATGCATTTAAACACAAAATTACTTTACAAGTTATTATCAGACTTTG